GGTCCCGTCCAGGCCACCGGCTCCCAGCCCTCGACGGTTTCTCCTTTTCACTCGGGGCGTCGCACACCATTGCAAACAGAGGGTAAATCTGTCAGGCGCTTGGAACCGTCCCTCCGTGAAGCTGCTGCTCTGTGTCACGCACCCTGCGTCCTCCAGTCCGAACGCTTTTTCTTCCAGCAATAGAGAAGAAAACCCACCAGGTCTTTGTGCTGATGTATACAGGTTTGCTCTGGTTTTGAACCAGGTGCACACCTGACCTTTACGTGATAGGAATCCTCGCTTTCAATGGCCCTAAAGCTACTTGTTGCACCCTGGTGTATTTTTGCACTTAGTAGTTTCATTTCTGAGATGCTTTTCCTGTTTATACTTGCTTTAGTGTTTTTCTCCTAGTTTTCTTAGCATACGTTCTGGTACAGCATGTACAGCTGTTTCAGCATCATCCTTCCTCATAGCAGCAAGCCGAGATGTCTCTGCTCCAGTTATCATTGTTAACTCATTTACGCTGCAGTAGTGTGTTGGCATTTCAGGCCAGAACTCAAGTATATGCTAAGCAAGAACACTTGGAGAATGTGTGATCCAACAGGTTTCATTTTCACCCCAAAATTGTGGGGGATGCCATGCGGTAGTGGAGGTAGCTGGGGATCATGCAGTGTTCCTGGGAATGTTCAGAACTGCTATGGTGCATGCTGGAGAGCTGGGAAGATGCTCGAGGCGCCCTCCAAGCAGGGCGCTGGGACACCCAGGCTGCGCTCCAATGCCTGCAATGACTGCCCAGCGCCGAGTCACTCCACTCTCCGGCCCAGCCCACCCACCTGTAAGATGCAGCTGCTTTTGTAAAGCCCTTTGCGACACAGCTGAAGAGCTAACAAGGCCATTAGCCTACATACTGCAAGACCACAACTTCTTAGAGTAATGGAGCGTTACAAAGGGTGATACAGTCTTGGCAGTACGAAACCCTTTGTAGTGGTTCCAGCATAACAATGCTGTTTGCTTCAGGCCTCCAGAAGGCCTGACTCTGGTGCCACTGATTGTTCCACAGGCGGGAAGGTGGCTTTGCCTGGTGGAAGGCTGATTGGCATCAAAAAAAAAAAAGGCCTTGAATTTATTCTCCGTGCTCCTTTGTTGAAGAAGAACTGTTTAGGGCCGCTGCTGGATGTCCATGTGATGTTGCTGTGTGCAGGTTGGCGGGAAACACCTTTTAAGCTTGGGAGATGCTGCAGGTCCAGCGTTGATGCAGATGGACCGATCCATGGCTGGTGAGGACTGTAAGAAGCAGCAGCCATGGCCTGCAGCTGAGGTGGTGCAAAGGAGTGGGGCAAGAAGATGTGATGCTTGCTGGATGCCCACACAGCAGCTTAGGGCTACAGCCAGGAACGGGGCTTGGGTTTCCTTTCCCAGAGCACTGACTGCCCTGCTAATGGAGCAGTGAGTGGCTTACAGCAACAGACGTGACCCTGAGTCCTGTCGGAAAAGCAGGAGTAGCTGAGGAAAAGTCCTCCCTCCCCAGGCTGCCGAGATGATACATGTCTTTCCAAATAACAAACTTTCCTCCCTCCTTTCTTCCCAGCTTCTGCCTTTCCTAGCCTCAGGGGGACTCCGAAGGCGGCCCCAGGTGGCATACAGCACCAAGGAGGAGAGTGCTGCAAGACCTATTGGGCGGTACCCGGTACCCAATAAGAAGGACATGCCGTATGACATTGTGGAGCTCATGGAGGAAGTGGAAATGAAGGTAAAGGAGTTCTGCTGCAAAACTCTTGTCAGTGGAAAGGGTCCAAAGCCGAGTAGGTCATACACCCTATGAGAGCAGTTCTGGTCCAGTTAGGTCTAACACAAACCTGACAGGAGACTGAAGTGAGCAGCACCTCTTGCAAAACTCCTTCCAATCTACAGGATGGGGATTTTACTAGAAATCCTGCAGTGTGTTGGCAGGATTCTAAGTCTCCCTGGTTCCATGAGACTAGTGGGTTGTTTCAGATGGTATCTTGTGCACAGGGTTGGATGGAACACTAACATGTTACTTGTTTTTGGAGAGCATCTGTGTTTACTGGAGACGCTATTAGGAGTGTTTTAAACATTTTTAATGGAGAAAAAATGGGAGGAGCTGCTTTTACAGTATTAAAAGGCTCAGGGAGTACTTCTGCTTTTGAGCTTTGACTTTTTTCTCCAAAGCTAAATGGGCTGTGCAGTGGCATAACAGTAAGCCTAATGCAGAACTGTGTACAAGGGGAAAAGGAGGGAAGTGGACAAGAGTTACCTTCCCTGCTGCTGCAGAGAAGGAATGCCACACAGTCCTTCCTGATGGCTAAAACACTCCACCAGCCACAGCTCTGTGGACTTCTCTCTTCCAAGAGCTTCCTCTCAGCAGAGTGCCAGTCCATCCATCCCTATCCTTCCTGCCAGGCTGTTGAGTCTGTGCTCTGCTACTGTTACAGTGGCCCTGGTGAAGTTTGCGTAATAATGAAAGGAGTCAGCAGACTTGAGGGTAAATATGATGTACAGAGGAAGTCTCAGGCTCAAATTTCATGTGCTGTGATGCAAACCCCTGTCAGTGCACTGAAGGGGTCAGCAAAGACCTATGTATAGGATCCAATCAACCTAGCAGACTTGGATATCCAAACAGTGCTGCCAACCTCTGTTGCCAGAAGTTCCTACTTAAACTAATGGGTTGTGAATGAAGAGGGAACAGCTTCCCCTTGGTTAACTAACAGTAAATAGGTGGGTGAGACAGGAGGAAGCACAGGCAATTGTGTGGCAGTGGAGGGAGGCTGCCAGAGGGGTCTGTGACACCTGGGCTAAACTCCTTCAGCCAGGCACTGAGGGTGCTGATAAATGCTGACTGCTGGCAGCCAGCCATGGGTGGGTGCTGCATCAGCTGATCTGGCATGTGAGAGGCAGCAAGCAATTATCTGGGAAAGGCAGCCCTGCACACCATCATGGAGATGGACTGGGCTTTGGCATTTATTGGGGGCAGAAGAGGGAGAGAAGCAGAGCATCAGTGTTGTGCCAGCATATATATCCACTGTGTCCTGGCACTTCAAATGGCTTGTTTGGATTGGGCTGGCCCTGTCTCGCGTCCTGTAAGCTCAGAGGGAGAAGAGGAGAGTTATAGAAGGCTTAGGATAGTCAAATCAGTGTAGCAGCATCTGTGCAGGGAGATGAAGTGGAGACAGCCTCTCAGTTTGGAAAGGAGCTTGCTGATGTGACTGTGGTCATTACTGCTGTGGCTGAAGTGAGCAGGGCAATCAGTCATGCTATGAAATTGCAGCAACACCTAATTAAGAACCACATCATTACATCTTCAGTCATATATATAAATGGGCTCAAAGGGCAAGAGAATGGGTCTGCAGAGATTCCCCAGCACTGCTGTGCTAACAAACTATTCTCTAAGCCTAGTGCATTAATGTCACCCTCTGTGCTCTGTGTTGTTACAGTTCTTGACTTGTTTTTCTTTTTCCTTGAACAGATTGGATTTCTGCCCAATGTGTTCAAAGCCATGTCTCACCGACCTGCTGAATTCAGAGCTTTTTTTGCTTATTACAATGCCATTATGAACAAAGACACAGGTAAACCGTACAACCACCTCAAAACTGCCCTTTGTAGATGTGAAAAGTTGCTAGAAGTGACATTTCTGACATCCTCAGATGTATTGCCTCACTGTACCTTCTCCCAGCCCATAATAACAGCTGGCAGAGGCTGTTAGCCTTGCTCATGTTGCATACACATTCATACTCTTTAGCTTTTGGTTAAAAAGCAGCTCTTAAGTTGAATTCTGCTGCCTCGCTGCACTGTGATCTGTGTCACAACAAAGAAAGGACAGGATGTTGCCTAAGGGAAGACGAGCTGGGAGCTGAGTGTGCTGAAAGGGTGCAGGCAGAGACAGTGGTTTCATGGGAAGGGCTACAGCCCCACACTATTGGAGCAAGGTGCACATGGTAGGTCTGGCAGCCAGACCTACCCATGGTAGGGCCAGCCAAAAGTCTAGATTTCCCAGGCAAGTCCATGGGGATGAGGCAGATCCAAGATCAAGCCAGAAAGTTGGCCTGCGGGTCAGTCAGGTTCCAGACCAGCAGGGTTACGCAGCCAGGCACTGCAGCCGCAGTGGGGCTCAGGTGGGGTCACAGCCAAGGGCCCAACATAAAACAGCTCCCAAGGGAGGGGCAGGTCCTCTGTGAGCCTGCCTGCAGCAATTCCTTCACACAACAGTTCTTGGCAATGAGCTGCCCACAAGCAATGCACAAAATTTGTGTGAGGGAGGCTGTGCCCTCTGGGCCCTGACGCTCTGCGCCAGGGACTTTGAACCTGGGGCTGTCCGTACCCTGCAGCAGCAGGGAGAGGACTGAGGTGGTTGCTGCGTGCTGGGATGCCTGTGCAGCGGGTGGTCTCTGGGTGCCCTGGCATGGAGATGAGGGAGGGCTGGCTGCAGCAGTGCTGCTAGGCAGGGCTGTAGGGAACTCTGCACAGCTCTCCACCCTTTAAGGAAATGCAGTTTGAGGACTGCCTGTTCCTTCCTCATACTTCCCACGGTACAGGGCACTGAGGGTCCTGTTCTCATTGCTTTTGCTCTGAAGGTACATTAGTAAAACCAGGATTTTGTAAAATAAGCTGGCGCGTGTAGACTGCCCCTCCTGCTTATGGGCGATGAGGGCTCAGGAGGAGTGTCTTGGCAAGATCTGGAGGCAGTGAGGAGTGCAGCCTTGTGCCTCTCCCACGTGGATGGTATGTACATGCAGTCTCTCTGTGAAGCTTTCTGCTCTGCTTGTGCTGCTGGAGTGAAGCCATACCCCTAGCTGTACGAGGGTCCGCTTTTCCCTTCTCATTCCTATGCTTCCTTTTTGACTTGAGGAGTAGGACTATTTTGGATTCCACCCTTTTCAGCATCTCTTGTGCTGTATCACAGCGTTGCCACCTTCTGGCACTGAACCAGAGCAAGAAGGCCTCTTCTCCTGATTCCTGTTCTCCCAGGAGGTTTTAGTAGTGTCTTTCATGCTCTTAGAAGACACTGGTTTTATGGAAATATTTTCAAAGTCCAGTAAAGCAGTAGCTTTTGCAGGGACAAGGAGGGACCCTGACCTTCCCTGTGAAGTGTAGTTTTGGAAAAACTGTGCTGCTGATTATCTTAAAAAAGGCAAAGAGCATGACTGCTGATACGCAGCCAGGTAAGTTCTTCAGATTCTGATTAGGATTGATTCTCAGTATAACAAAGCACAGCCTTTTCCACAGATTCTTTAGAGCAGTCGCAGGACTAGACACTTTGTAGAAGTTGTGGTTTATCTGTGTGGTGGTCACTAGAAGGTCTCAAAGCCCCAGTCCTAGGGTACCTCATTGTTACTTTTGTTTTCTTCTTTCTGCCTTCAAAAGCTGCCAATAATGTTTACTTGCTGAAACCTGCTTAGTGGGTTTTAGAATACTGCGCTTTTCTGTAAAAGCAGCAATAAAGCAATCAGAGGCGGAACAGACAACACCCTCCCTAGCCATTTGTCTCCGAGATGTACATGGAGAAGTACCAACCAAGCTTCCTACTGCATGAGCAAGTAATTTTGCTCTGAGTTTTCCTGTTATGTAGAACTGTTGTTTTCCTGTTGACCAAATGTCATGTCCCTCGTCCTAATTGGGTGCCTCACAAGCAACTATTCAGGTAAATTGGTTGCGTGGATGATCACAGAATCACAGAATGGTTTGGGTTGGAAGGGATCTTTAAAGATCATTTAGTCCAACACCCGCCCCTGCAATGGGCAGGGACATCTTTCAGTAGATCAGGGTGCTCAAAGCTGCGTCCAACGTGACCTTGAACACTTCAGGGGTGGGACATCCACAACTTCTCTGGACAACCTGTCCCAGTGTCTTGTAAAACTTTCTCTTTATGTCCAATCTAAACCTACTGTCTTTCAGTTTAAAACTGTTGCCCCTTGCTTTGTCATCTAGGAGCTTTGGTTGCAGTGTCTCCCTGCATGCTCTCTGGAGCTCTGTCTCCTGGGCTGTGTTGCAGGCAGCCTGTAACCCAAAGTCCTCCCCTCCCTGTTTCCCCAGGGATACTTGGCGTGGTGGACATTTTTAACAGAAAAGTGTGCCAAATCTTTTGCTGTCCCTGTAGGGCGACTCAGCAAGGCAGACAAAGAGCTCATAATTGTGGCTACAAGTGCTGTGAATAGATGTCCCTACTGCGTGGTTGCACATGGAGCGCTTCATCGGATATATTCCAAGCAGCCAGCGCTGGCTGACCAGGTCAGTGGGGTTACAATAGTGTGCGTTCCACCTCCTTCGCATGGTCCCTTGGGAGGTGGGAATGTCCCTCTCATGTGGTTGCTTTCTCACCTGAATTTTTGATCCTTAAGCTATATTTTGAACCTTTGATCTATGTGGTTCCCAGCAATCTTGGCAATTTTGACATGTCTGGGGCCCTAACTCAATACCTGGCTTACTGGAGTTATTGGTGAGAAGTCAGACCAGTAGCTAGTGGGGGTAGGACCCTGAGGTGAGGGTCTGTGTATCCTCATCCACCTTCCAAGCAAGATGTGGGGAGGGATGGTTTGCCTGCAGAGCATTCATCCTGCTGCCCATATTCTCTGCTGGTTTAATCTGGTCTGTGGAGGAACTTGCTACCAACAGGGAGCTGCGGCATCCTGGCGGTGTTGGGTCCTGTTTCAAGAACTCCTCCATAGCCTGGTCAGTAAAACCGCCACAGTCCCTGAGATGAGAAGGGCGGTAAAATAGATGAGTCTCCTGTCTGATGGTAGCCAGGACGTGTGGTTCAGGTGCTGAGTAAGAGCCTGTGTACTGCCGTCTCCTTGGTTTGCAGACCAAAGAAGGTGGTCAAGCCAGTTAGACTGCTTGCTGGGTCCATCTGTGCTACCTGTCGTTTCTGCCTTCTCACAGGTCATTGTGAACTGGAAACTGGCTGACCTGAGTGACCGGGACCTAGCAATGCTGGAGTTTGCTCTTGCAGTCTGTCGAGCTGATAACATTACTGAAGAGCATTTCCAGAAGCTGGAGAGGCATGGTTTTGACCGCGAAGATGCCTGGGACATAGGCATGATTTCTGCTTTTTTTGCCATGTCTAATCGCATAGCTCATTACATTGACCTGCGCCCAAACAAGGAGTTCTACACCATGGGCAGGACGCCCCGTGGAGGGGAGGAAGCCGAGCATGCCTGACGGGGCTCTGCGATGCCTACGCATCCGAAAGATTGATCAAGCTCTTAACTCTCAAGCTCGTGTGGCTCGTTTCTGAATGTGTGGAAGGGTTAAAAGGTTTAATGCCGGATTGTAGCCGTGAGGGATGGTGAGCTTCCCTCTCCCTCAGCGCCGGGGCTGGCTGCAGCGCTTCCGCGCTCCTGGAAGACGCTAGCCTTAGCCGCGCGGGAGCGA